TCAGGTCGTTTTAGGCGCCAACATCGCCCCGATGCACACGATACAAAATACAGTAATCGGATTTAGACTACAAAAAAAAAACGGCACATCAGAATTTGTTCAAATTTGGCATAAACATTCCTTAATCGATTATCTAGAGAATAGCGCAGTTAGATTTTCGATATTTCGAATTTTTTTTTGGCCTATATTGTGAAAATGAACTATTTCCGAAAAATAGAAATAACCACGGTAAAAATTGAAAAAATAAGAGCACTATTTTCTAGATAATCGATCAAAGAATGTTTATGCCAAATTTCAGCAAATTCTGATGTGCCGTTTTTTTTGTAGTCTAAAACCGATTTTGAAATAAAATTCCTGATAATTTGGCAAATATAGTTCAGGCTTTTTTTCGAAGATGGCACCACCAGTCAATTCGAGATGTCATCATTAGGCGTTTCCGGAAACGCTGATCCGTCTGATCAGCAGTTGTTTTTCCAGCCAGTCCAGCGTTTCCGCAAAGGCCTATTGAAAACATAATCTCTTTCTTATTTTGTGTATTTGTTTTGTTTTTTATTGTTGGGTTTATAAAACAATAGAAACAAAGAAAATTTACAACCATTAGTTTCTATTCAAAATAAATAAAGTACCTATTTTACGTAAGTATACGTAAAAAAATTGGATCGTGTTGTATAGGACAAAATGTCTTTGAAAAAATAAAAAGCTTGGATGATGATTATTAATATTTATTTACAAAAGGTGGAAAGTGCCAAAATTAGAGTTTTTTCCTTTGTGTTCTTGTATATTAGTGCAATAATAATATCCACCAATGCAGTAGAGCATTCCATTTAGGTATATTATCTCTGCATGCTCTGTCAAGTACTGGCGATTTGTATTTGTTTTACTGGATCTTGGATCTTTTACCAACATCTGAAATTGTGTAAGACTATTTTTTTAGAAGTTGGTGAAGCCTATTTTCCCACTGGCCAATGATTTGCTGCTTTACGATGGAGATTTCGTTCAGCAGTACCCAAAAATAAAAATTACTCAGAATAATAATTATATATACTCCTGCTGAAGTTAAACATACCTTCAGTCTATTCTCTATTCAAAAGCCTACTTCTCTCAGACTGAAACTCTTCCTCTGTGAGAGAGGCCTCTGTGGCATTTGGCCCATATCCTACTGTTTCTTTTGAAACTTTCTTTTTAGGAGGTTTCTTGTTAGCATTTCCTGGAATCTACGCTTTAAGTGCATTGTCATATTCATGTTGCTTCTTGCATTTTCTCAAAAACGATTGAAAGGCAGTACCTGGCACCGTTGGCTCCGAGTCCAGCCAAGGTGAGCTTTGCCAATCTGCATCTTTATTGTACCCAAGTCCAGACAAATAAGTCCTGTCTGCAAAGAGCCTTTTTGGATGGCACTCAACCGTTTGCGGACATAAACATCTCAGCTCCATTGTTTTGTTTCATTATCAATCAGCTTGTGACCCTGGCTTACCACAATATTTATTGAAATACGGTTGTTATCCGATTGAAAATGCCAGCAATCTCCATTTCTCCTACTTTATTGCTAAAATATCCATTACATTGATAATATGAAGGACTAAATTTGAGGTGTTTTCCAAAAACATGATAAGGCCCATTTTCCAAATCAGTTTTTAAATTATCGACATCACTATGTGCGTTGATATACAGCGTGTCCAAGATAAGGATGGGATAGCATTAGTATCTGGAGATCGGTTGGAGTTACAATGTTGGTTAGATTAGGAAGTTGCGCAATTTACCACTCAATAAAATGGTAGTTTTACATTTGGAAAATTACGAATACTTTCTGAGATATCCAGAAAAAACCGAAATTTTGCAAAATCGATTTTATTTTTTTCTGAGCTCATTTGAGGAGATATTTCAAAATAAATAGCACTTCATCATAAAAACTTCTTCTACTCTAGAAGATGACATTTCCAAATTTAAAATCTGACGTATCATCTTTAGGCTACCATCATCAACTTAATTTTTTAAAACTGCTAGATAATTGCACTCGAGTAAAAGTAAAATTTCGACTAACTTGTGAGCTAGATATTTGTGGAACCAAAATATTGAACTCTAGTTTCTGTGTGGCATTTTTTTTCCACAAAAAGTCAATCTGTCAGTCCGTGAAAACCGGAGGTTGATATTTGGTCTGGTTCCAAGAATATTGCTTGAAAGATAGGCGAAAAAGTTTCCTTGTTCAAAGCAATTGTCCAGCAGTTTAGTTTATAACTCTGGTTTATAGGTTGCACATATCATATTATAACAAAAAATAATGCTTCCGACAAGTCCATTGTGAATTTCTCTGTGCACTTTCAAAAGTCCAAGGTTACATCTTCGACTATGTTTGAATTGAAGCTCCATGTAAATCTCTGTTTCATAGGTACTCTAAATCAACAATTTTGTTTCCTAGGATATTTGTCGAGTTATTTGTTAGTGTTCTTTCAATTTATATAATGTGTTTATAAATATTTCATCTTAGTCATTATATTCCTCTTGGCTTATAAATGAGAACTCATGTAGCTTTTCATCAGGCGACATATACATTTATGGGTGTTGTTCAAATTGTAGACAGAAGAAGATACATTATTTTCTTCCATGATGAGGTTGCTAGAATCAAAAATATAAAAAGATACTTAGTACCTATTAGTTTATTGGCTTACATGTCAAGGGGATCAATCTCGGATCAATTATGCCAGTTGAAATTATTTTGTCCATAATAGGGGGTGTCATGTTCATTTTTGTAGTACCTACTAGAGAATATTTGAAACCTGCTTGTAATATACCTATGTATATTTTATTTTTTTCATGAATAAATTTTGACACATAATAACACAGTTGGTCTCTTGGTCTTGGGATACTGGTAATATCTGTGGTAATATCATGTTAGACAAGATTGTGTTTGGGTTTTCCTGATCTTGAAAATTAGCTTCTTTCTCCGTAGGTATGTAGGTATATGTATGTTTTTTCTATAATCAGCTTGCCTCTTGTACCTACAAAAGCTGCTTATTGCAGGGGCAACCAAAAAAGCAATATAATTTCATTGCAGAATAACGGTCATAAATTGGATACGTCCTGAAATCTAAGTTGTAATTTACCTCTTTGAACACACTGGCTTTAGAGCTTCCACCAGCATTCCGCTACTTGCATAAAAATGTTCGTGCAAAGAAAGAAGAAATGTTCTTGCAAGACCATACGTAATATAATAATAAACCATTTTGCATACCTAAGTAATCAAAAGTAAAGTTGGATAAATTTATTAGTGTAGGGTGAAGAAACCAAATTTTTGAAATAATTTTTCTTTCCTGTGCTTTTAGGAAGGAAATCGCGGTACTTACCTTTTGTCGCGCTCTACTGTTTTTTCGGCGAATCTCGAATCATTAATATTTGCTTTTCGGCAACTAGCGATTAGTGTGTATGGGTTGCTCGGGCACATATTCACTATAATTGCCCGAGCAACCTATACACACTAATCGCTACTTGCCGAATAGCAAATATTTGTGATTCGAGATTCGCCGAATACCATATGCGTGTGCCCGCCTTAATACTAAAAAATAAACAAAGACAGACATAGGTCATACTACGCACATTGAGAGCGAAAGACAATGATAACTAAATGCCGATGAATTTTTGATTCCATTTCGTTTATTCGTTCGGTTTTAAATATTTATTGTCGGTCATGTGGCGTGATCTTTCCTGAATTAGATTTGGTGTTCCTTTGTATTACTTTTCTTGCTCTAAGCAGATTTCAGCAGCAGATCGGGTTCGTGTTCAATTGCTCCATATTTTCCTGATTTTTCGAACAGGTAGAGCAAGTACAAATAAGCACCCCAGTCATCCAGAAGCGTTGCAAAAACCCATCAAAATTTAAAAAAAAATGAAAATTTGACAAAACGATCACAGATTCGAAATTTTTTGTTCAGGAATATCCTGAAAAATCGTAAGCATGGACTGTTTTTTTTTTTCAATAATAATAAACTATATTATGTTTTTCATTATCCCTTCCAAAATAGTCAAAAAATTAGGTATTTATTATAGTAAAAAGATTCCGAAATCAAAACAAGGCAATTTCTTCATAAACAAAAACCTGTTCTATAAACCTATATCTAACTCCCAATTCTTTCCTAATAAAATAAAATAGGAAAAATAAGTATATCAAGTTCAACTTTGAGCATTGTGGTTGGCCAGGCAAAATAATAATGGCAATTTCCATTCATTCGTCAATCAGTGCGAACTGAGTGAGAAAAGTTGCACTGATTCTGCAAATTGAAATCGCTATAATATTTCAAATACTAAATCTTGGCGCCGCCATCTATATATATTTTTTTGAACTAAAATCTAATTTGAAGGGGGGCTATTGCGGCCTTAATCGATCTCAGAGCCCGCACTGGTTTTCTGGACAGAATTTTGTGGATTCTAGCACTGCTTAGTGCATCTGACACACTTTCACATCTATCTTTAGTTCGATTGAATAATCTTTGAAATTCTCTCCTGGAATTGTTTAAGTTTTTGTTCCACCAGGGTGTTTTCTTATTATCCTGTTTTACCCTAAGAGGACAATTTTTGTGATATGCTGACATTATCGCAGTGGTTAGTTGACCCGCTGTTCACAATAAATGTTAAATGCAGTAGGGACATTTAGAAAGTTGGATGTTAGGGATTCGTTAGCCATCCCAGTTTGTGACCCTTGCGTCGCGGTACTGCACTGTTTGCCCTAACTTTGGTCCACTAATCTATGCGTAAGCAGTTACAGTTCGGTAAAATTTTTCGGTTTTGGAAAAATGTACAGAAGTTACTTTAAAATATTTATAAATCACCCAAATGCTTCGGCCAACAATAACAATGCCGATAAACTTTTATGAATGAAAATTTGCACGGTATTTTCCGTGAAGAGTGGAGCCGTTCGAGGTCGAATAAGCGCGTGTTCAACAGCAATGATCAATAATTAAATCTTCCATAATAAATATTTCCTCCTCGTCCGATAAATATTATTTCTTCGTTTTTCAGCGTGTGGGTCTATTGGAATGTTTTCCGTTCTTGGTATAGTCAAGTTCAATGTCACAAGTGTAAATATTATCTATCTAAGAAATAAGTTAACTTTCAAACAATTTCAATATTTTCTATTTTCGAAATAGCGGCAATTTCAAAAAAATAAATTTTTTTAACTGGGATATTAATTTAAAACAAATTGCAAGATTGTTTGCCTAATAATAATAATTAGATCACAGTGTTCGTGTGGACAAAACACACATGCACCGAGTTGTCCAGTCCCAACTTAAATGTATAGGTAATATGTATCTCCAAGGCTTCCAAATTTAAATATAAATATATCGCAGGTCTATTTTCGAATCTGAACTTGGATCCCATACAGAGAGGACAAGGTTTTCTTAAATAGTTCAAAAAATTCCTACAAATAAAATTGAGCAGATCACAAAATTGAAATAAAGTAAATTATTTACTTGCAGCAGTTTATTTAGTGAAACCCAATAAACATTTATACAGTTGTTACACAGGCACAGGCACGCACGACATCGATAGGGCAGTGTGTTGGCGATTTGAAATGGCTCTATTTTTCCAGTATTTTTTTTTTAACAATTTTAATTTTTTTTGGTAATAGAGCCATTTGCGTATGTTTCTGTATTTTTTAAAGAAACATTATGTTTAACAAATTTAAATGTAAGAAAATGATACCTATTACTCAGACCCTCAAATTTGAACTTAATTTGTTAAACTGTATTAGAGGCGGCCATCCATAGACAAGTGATTCTTTTGAATCACAAGGTATTTTTGTGTGCATCTAATGTTGCTTATATTTTGGATGGCCCGCCAGGATATATTACAGAGTATTTCAAATTTTTTTTATTGTAATGTTATAGTTTTCTTGTATAGCAAGGAAGGTATAGTCTGAAACATGGTTGAAATATTTTTTGTTAGTACTACAGTTCTTTTTTTATTGGAAATCCTAAAAATACCTACTATTTAAAATAAAATTTCTTTTAAAGTCTTTTTGTGCATGAAATATTTTTGGGCTGGATGTACCTACCAACATTTCTGAAGAACCTTCGAAAATATAAAAAAATAGGTAATCCAAAATTTTTTGTGATAAAAACATTTTTTAGCAATTTGGGCAAATTTCACTAGGCTAAAAAAAAAAACATCATTAAAGCCTCTATACCTAAGTACTATAAATATACTCCTGGACAAAATTATCGCACCACTGCACATAAGCATCACCATAAACAGTGGTGCGATAATTTTGTCCAGGAGTATATTTATGCTTTTAAATATTGGCTACATTGAATAGAAACTTTATAAAATCCAGCCCTGAATAACCAAAAATCATTTGGCACTAAAATGCCCAAAAAATGATGATAATTATTATTTTTTTAAATTGTACTTTATTAGTGCATTTTCGTTAGCTAAAAATTGTATTACGTTTCTTTGACTATTTCGTTTCCTAAACACATATAATTATTATTACTTTTATGATTATTTTATTTTTGAAATTGTTCTATTACTTTCATTTACCTAAATTATACTAACTTACATTATCTACCAAAACAAAAATTGGTGGTCAATATCACATTATAATCAGCATCAATCCTTAACATTTAAGAACAGCTAAATATGAAACAAGAAATAAAAAAGTAAAAAAAAAACAACATAAAAATAAATTATAATTTACATCATGTATAATTCAAATGAGTTTCAACGAAAAATCACAAATTTCGCTTGTGTTTTTTATTAGAACCAAACCTATTATTCTAGACATTTTGGTCAAAGAAGCTGTATAGAGTCGATTAAATTTATTCCTGTTTGAATCCATTGGTTACAGGTTGTTCGGCAGAAAGTTGCTCCTTTCGTTGCACCTGGAAAAATACCACGAGCCTTCCACAGAGTAGAAATAGAAACACCAGAGCTGGTGCGGTTCTTTCAAAATGGTCAGCTACCATATAGTGGGAGTACACGGCCATAAAGGTGAGCACCAGAAGCCCCATGTTGGCACCATTTTTGATTTTGTCTGAAAAAAAAAGAGTTTTATACTTAAGTAAGTAATTCAGTTTATGTACACATCAGCTTTACAAATATTTAATATCTAAATTAAAGTAACCTTCAAACCATGGAAGTAGCATTTGGAACCGATTAGAATAATCATCATAAAAACCTCAATTTATAATATAAAATGTACATAACATATAAACATGAGGTCATTTCGCACGACTGTTTTTCGTTAAAGTGTCTATTTTTATCATCTCTGGCTATTGACAATTCATTCTCTGGATGTTGTAGGCTGGTGTGGGGTCGGCATTTTTTCTAGTTTAATTAAAACTAAAATTACGTACACGGCGCGAATGGTCTTAAATTAAATCAATTTTTTCAAAGATTTTGTTATTTGTTATAGGTAGGTACATATCTATTTAGGTAGAGGTGATCGCGAAGGGCTTGGAAAATTTTAAGATTTATCTATGATGAATATTAAATAAAAAATTAATTTTATTTTCATAAAAAAATGAAACTACACTGCTAAGCGTGGTACGTGGTACGTGGAAAACTAAATAGTAACTTTAGATAAAAGGGCTATAGGCATTGATTTAAATCAGTATCCACCACTTAAGCATTCCAGATCCTCAAAGTGAGCATGAGTTTTATCAGGCAATGGTGTTGATAGTTTCACAACAAAATCTTCACAAGGCAGAAGGGTTCATCGAAATATCGAAGCCAGTTTTTTTTTCAGTCATCCAACTAGAAAGCAAGCCTTGTACCCGGAGAAACTGCATAATAGCATTCTATACTCATCACATTTCATTTTCGGAAAACCCAAACTGGTGATAATAACTTTCCATTTGCCTCTACCTATATTTCCGAATTTAAGCTTGGAATGGCAATGGTCTTTTGCAACATCCTAGCAATACTGCACATGGAGGAAGCGCTGTCATAGTTTTTAAAAAAAAAACATATCTCACATTGAAAAGACAAAATATAAAACAATAGAAAATTCTAGCTTCAGCAGTAGGAGTGTGAAAACCAAAACATACACATTAGCCCTATGTGCTGCCTATATACCACCAAGGCATCTATTGAAGAAAAGTCTTGATTTTCTCAGGAAGTTATTAAATCGATTTATAGTTGTTATAGTATTACACAGTTATAGTAATTGTATGATATTTTCGCTTTATCGCATCTGTTCTTTTTTATTTTCGAATTTGTATGTCTAATTTATGTTAGTTTCTAATTTTAAAGTTAGCATGCTTTGTCAATTGATCGTGTACAATATAATAAAGTATATTTTCTTTCTTCTTTCTTTCTTTCTTTCATATACCTACCTAAATGCTGGTTTGCCGTTTTTGTCTTTGGAAACGCTAAATCATTGTGAACTTCATCAACGATTTTCTCCTTCAAATAGGTATTAGTGAATAAAGACAGTAAATAGTCCATTATCATAGGGTCCGCTCGCTTCGATCTCGTGCTAAGTTTAAAAATGCATTATTTTATGAAAATATGGGACTACTTGATTACCAAATGGTATGTTGGCATTTTTGTAAATTATTTTTTTCCGAAAAAAAGCCACTTCAAGATCACGGATGGAACAATTTAAAAAAAAAATCGTATCTCCGTTATTAATTGATCAATTTTTTATTTCAAAAAAATGAATTACTTGGAAAAGTCTATATTTTAAATAAAAAAATGTTTCAACTACAAATATTCAATATTAAAAAAAAATTCCACGAAAATTAAAAAAAACATATACTTTTGGTGTATAATAACAAGTGTTCCAAAATGACATTTGGCAATTTATTCTTAATAACATATTTGCGATCAATACATAAAAAAATCAATAACCTATACCCTGATACATTATTATGAATTGATCCCAATAATACGTGAAATAAATAAACTTCAAATAAAATCTAATAATATTCCAAACATTCTCAATGGACATCAAGACAATTCTGAAGACATTAGCAATAACATATATTTCTGTTAAAAGAACAGAATAAAATTGATACAAAAATAAAAATAATTCCTCAGCCACAGAGAATCAAAAGGAATAAATTAATGACTTGGCTCAATATTCGAATCTCTAACTGGAAACCAGGGGCCTGTTTCATAAAAATGAAGATTTGAAGAGTTGAGGGGTCAGGAGCGACATAATGTTACATTTTATTTCATAAAAGTTTTGAAGAGTTGAGAAGTAGACGCAAAGTAATTTTGAAGCAAAAACGACATTTCCTTTTCACTCTTCAACTCTTCATTGTGAACTCGTCGCTCTGCAACTCTTCATTTTTATGAAACAGGCCCCTGAACGCATCTGACGGAGAAAGTTACGAGCACATCATTAGGGAATTACAAAACAATCAAAATAGCTAACAAGAAAATATTCTATATTCAAAAACAAAACTTGCTTTCTTTAAAAGTAATAGAAAAATTTAACCAAACTATTAAACAAATAAATCACAACAAAAAACTTCTAGAATAAAAAATTAACCAAATTGCACTATGGTACAGAAGGCAGGCATAATAAATCAAATACCTAGTCAATATCCCCAGTAGCACAACAATATTGGTAAAATATTATATTTACATATTGGCCCAAGAATGGAAACGACAGATTATTTTTTTTTGCCCAATATATATTGTAAATATGAATCCGATATTGAAGAAAAATATTGTGCCAATATTGCTTATAAATAAACATGTAACATTGCTTTTAGAACTATACCCAATATTTGTTTTTCAGATTGGCACAATGTATACTTTTTATATGAATCCGATAGTGAATATAAATATTTCTCCAATATTACCAATTAATAAATATGACATATTTCTTCTAGAAATATTTACAATATTTTTTTGGAAAAACACATGTATTTAACCCGTATTTAACCAAATCTCCAGCACCTGCAGACTAGACCGGTTTCCGGCTTCGAACTTGTGAGCGAAGCATACCAACTTAAAGAAACAGGTTTGAAGGAAACTCAAACGCTTGGGAAGAGCAAAGCAATCAGTAGCGCGTGGTGCCCTCTCTCGGTAGTCCTGATTGATATGGAAAAGGTACATCTCCTATATATCACCAATATTGGATAAATATTAAATATAAACATGAATAAAAGATATTGCCAAACATGGATTAGATCCAATATTGAATCAATCTTGGATTCACATATTATATAATGATAATATAGGAAAAAGATTAATCTCCAATATATTATCAATATTGGCTACAAATTGCTAATATTGGACCCATATACAATATTTCGCCAATATGGATAAATATATCAGTATTGATCCATTAATGGATACAATACTATGATAATATTAGAAAAAGTTGTATTGCCAATAATCCACCAATTTTGTCTAAATAATGTCAATGAATATATTTTTTCTGTATATTAGCCCATTTTTAAGTAAATATAATATTACAATGTGGAAAAATATGTATTGCCAATATTGGCTCAATAATGCAAAAAAAAACAATTTTTTTGTGCTTATCGGTTCAATGATGGATAAATATATCACTGTTATATAAGAAAAATATGTATTGCCAATATGTAACCAATCTTGGCTATATGCTGCCGATAAAAATATTGTTTGTGCATATTGACCCATTCTTGGATAAATATATTATTATAATGATGAAAGAAGTTGTATTGCCAATCAATGTCCAATGTTGGCTAAAAAATTCCAATATTGGGCCAACATACAATAATGGTCCAATGTATCCGCAACATGGGACCAACATTGTGGGCTACTGGGGATCTATGAGATAGATAATCGACTCTATTTTACAAGATATAGAAAATTCCTTAACTTTTTAAAGTTGAAAATCATGCATCCAGGTATAATAAAAACTGAAGACTTTTATCATGAATTAAACAAACTACAACAGCGTTTCCAATAATGTATTCGGACATTTTTGATAACTTTCATTTATACTCGGTTCCAATGCTTTCTCAGAGTCAGTTTAAGGTTGTCTTACCGCAAAATAAATTCTTGCTGGAAAATAAATTGCACTACACATACTATGGTCAAGAAATTATTCTGAAATTCAATATTTGTGGAAGAGAAGACATTCACGAAATCCAAAGAGACGGCCCATGCGAAATTAAACTACTCCAATCTGACAAAAATACCTCCACCTGCGAACAAACCGAAGTTAAAGTCCCGCAAATTATCATCAATCGATTGGACGATTCCAATCAATGGATATTGGTCGTTCCTGTCAAAGAAGCCATCCAATTCAAGTGCTTTTAACAAAAGGAAGTACAAAACATCATAAGAACATTTATGCTTTAAATACCAATTGGTTGCCAAGTGGCCACCGCTGATACCGCATGATGCCGACCCTCAATCTAAGTCGACATCTAGAATATTTGAAATTAGACAACCTTCACCAATTGAGCAAAGAAGAAATGGACATATGCCCACAACTGAGTTTCACCGAAATCAATAGAATACCCAGCCTTGGAACAATCCTTATACATATATGTCCTCATCGTTATTGCCTGTATCTTCTTGGTTTGCATGAAATATGTAAAAGCCGAAGAAGGGAGGAGTTATATTGCGTCTATTTGCTGAGTTTAAAAGGCTTATTCTGCTTTTCACCTTATTATAAATGTATGTTTTTTTCCTAGGATAGTCAGTCAGTTGAAATTAATTATAATTGTAACATTTATTATAACGTGCTTTCGCTAGTATAAATTTTCGAATTGTTAATAAAGTAATTTTTTAAAAACCAACCCTCGGTTTCTGACTTGGTAACTCACTTTTCAGTAGTATTTACTGAACAACCTCTAATAAATTATATATAATTCGATTCAGCAGAAAATTCTGAGCATTTTTTATCTGAAACTTTTTTCTGTATAATCTATAATTATAGAAAGAAAAATGGTTAAAAAATAATAATTAAAAAGAAATCTTTTTTTTTTCAATTTTTGGGGAAATTTTCTTTTAATATTGAATATTTGTAGTTGAAACAATTTTTTTATTAAATAATAGACTTTTCCAAGTAATTTATTTTTT